CTGAGATTGATATAAAATAAGGTTGTACGTATATTAGAAATATCAGACATTGAATACAGGTTAAGTTTAACATGGGGATTTTTTCCCTTTCTTTTTCCAGCATAAATATGGCTGACCTCTCCGAGCTGGAAGGTGCTGTAAACTGGAAGGAAAGATGTTTAACTCTGGAGGCACAGCTAATGAAATTTCGTCTCCAGGCAAGCAAGATCAGAGAATTGTTAGCAGAAAAGGTAGGTCTTAGGGCATGAATTGTAATGCTGTATAAATGTTTTTATTTGGTGGTAGGGGATGATTACATGTCATGGTTTGAGGTTACAAGTACTGGGATTTTTTCATGAGGGGAAAAAAAGGCATTTTTAAACAAAATCTATGGAAAAGAGCTATGTTTTAGTGCCATGAAAGAATTCCACACATTGGATTTGCAAGCAAGAAATGTTAATTTTCAAATAAGAAGACACTGACAGCTCTCCTGCAGAGAAAAATGTGTATCCAGTAATCATTTTTATAACACTGATGTTAATATTTAAGACATTTTCCTCGGTATTTAAGATCTGATTTTAGACACAGAAATCACTGGGGAGAAAATGCAGAAGTATTATTTTCCCAGTATTCCTTACCAAATAATCTAATTCACCAGATTTGCTTTTCTTATAATAAGGTATCTCCAACTATGTCTCATCATCTGAGTTTAGGATCTGGGAAGTTGAAAAGTATTATATAATTTAATTTGAAGGATATTTTTTAAATATTTACTTAATTTTGCAATAGAGAAACACTTCACTTGGCATGTTTGAATGTGTATCCCAACAGGCAACCATAATTGTGCCCATATTTGGAATATAAAAAAACCACTATTGTATTGAACTGGAAACATTTAAGTGAACAGAACAAGGCTATTAAAAGAGTTCAAGGGACAAAACATTGTACAGAATCATTAGAACTGTGCCATCATGCAATTCAATCAATTTCTTCTTAAAAAGATATTTTGTCAAAACTACTGTGTTCTTCTTAGATCTAGATTTTCCATCAATTGCTCCCCCCCTGAAAAATAAAATTCAGATCTTTTTATAGTATGTTAATGATGATACTTTTATTTGACACATTTATGTTAATGCTTCTTTTATTGTGAGTTTGTCCATTCTCTCCTGGAAGCCATAAGTGCATTTAAAATCCACATTTAGCTCTCTCTGAATTATTCCTATTTTACTATATTTTGGTGGGGACAACAGCTAAATATTAAAGGTGGAAGAAGCATTATTTTTGTGTTTACGAAGAACTGTGGATGATGTACAAACTTAGGTTCTCTGCTCCTTTCCTAATAATACTTACCATTTTGTTTTCTTTGACAGCTAAATTAACTGGTGGAAGAAGCATTATTTTTGTGTTTATGAAGAACTGTGGATGATGTACAAACTTGGGTTCTCTGCTCCTTGCCTAATAATACTTACCACTTTGTTTTCTTTGACAGCTAAATTAACCGTTGAGTAGGTTTTCACTGAGGTATCTATCTTAATTCCAGGATCTTACTCAAAGTCCTTTAGATTTCTATGTAATGTGTCATTTGTTATTTTATTGGCCAGTGAAGTGCTGGAGTCTAAACCCCAAGCCCTGAATCAAGGTTGATGTATGGGTGATGCCCACAACCAGGCAGGAGAGATCTACCTCTTGGTTTTCTCTCAAAATCTGGCCAGCCTTGGGTGAAAACCAATTAGGAAACTAATACCAGGTGTCCTGCCTTTATGTTAATAGTATAAAAGCTGGCTCTGTGTGCTGTGGATGGGGGGTGGGTTGTGTTTCTAAGGTGTGTGTTATGTAGGGGTTTCTTGTTATTGGATGGGCTCCCTGAATGTCCATGGCAAGTAGAGTTCCCAGCAATGGTGGGACAAGATCAAGACAGATGAGGATTATGTATGTAATAATGCTTTTCCTTGGCAATTACTGTATGATTGGGATTGAACTATTGACCTGGCTTATTCCTTCCCCCATTACTGGATTTCAAACTTGGCTCACTCCTTTCTTTCCTACCTCCTGCACCATGAGTGAATATATTGATCTATTTGTTTCTCCTGTTGTTAATTGCATTTTATCTTCCCTGTATTCTTTGGAGTGGAATGGCAAAGTCTGGCTGGCCTGTCTGCCTCCTGATAATGCCCTTAGCTTTCATGCTGGGCCATGCAGGCAGCAAAAGAACTGGTCACTAAATCTTGTAAGGATCTTCTAGTAAATCTTCCTTGTCAGAAAGGTTTTACTGTCCTGAATAACAAAATACTGTCAAAAACCTGGTTGCTTCACTGCCCAGTGCCTGTTGGCAAATGTCTACATTGAACAGGATGCACCCTGAACAAATCTCTGCAGACATATGCTAATAACTGCCAGTCACTGTGTGAAGTAATCAATACTGTACTGTTTTTATTGAGGCAGATTTTAATTCATGGAGGGCCATTCCTTCTTACCCCATGGCTGTTTGTTTCTTTTAAACACTTTCCAAAATTCAAATAAACCACGTTCACCCTATTTGCAGCCTTGGTGAACCCCTGGCATAACTTCAAGAGCCTTGTAAGCCAACATCCCTCTTTATAAGGGCCACTTTGACTTTTCCCCTGTCTGACATACCCACATGCCCCCTAATTCTGCTCTTACAGTTTCTACTAGTTTTCTTACTACAGATATGTAGAGATATCAAGATCAATAGTTGATATGTCTGTGTCATCCAGTTCTTGACTGAGTATCATTTGGCAATTTGTTACTATTCACTCTATCTATTCATGCCCTTAATTCTCTATGGAGGTACAAAACTTCAAGTTGAGATCATACTAAGTTTCTTTACTCAGTTTTTTTAATGACACTTTTTTCATTCCGTAGATCTTTTTTATTAAAGTGAACATGAAAATATTCAGCAGTTCAAAATCATTGTTTAATAATAGTGAGTACTGCTGGCATGGTATTTTTACAGTTAGTACTCCAACTAGCCCTGCTTTGGCATGACTAAAGATCCTGATGTTAGAAAGCAGTGTTGTTGAAAACTCTTAATTGTTTATCCAATCCTGCAATTTTTCTGCATCTCAAACTTTCATTGAACAGATACTGTAAATTTTGGGGGTTGGAAGAATGACCAGCTGTACAAATGCCATCCTTTGACATTTAACTGGAAAAACAAAGAAAAGGAAAACTATTCATGTCCTTCATTCCAGTTAGCAAGGCCCACAGATGAGTTAATATAGCATTATCATCAGTCCTGGAGAGGAGCATCCATCAAAGAGGACAGTCCTGTCTGCTGTAACAGCCAACAGATTATTGGATGCTTACACAGTCTGGGCTGTTAGATGTCATTTATTCCTTCTGTCTCTTAACCCCATTTGGATCATTTTGGGGTGGATGTCAAGTAGCTAAATGCTGGGCATGACTTTTCTAGGGACTTTCCAGCAGCCACAGCTACCATGTTTTATGCAGCTGCTACTGATTATAGTTTTGGCAACCAAAAAGTTAAGATTCATGAGCAGCACTTTACGAAACTATGAGGTAAAAGCAAAAATATTTTAGAAGTTTGACTGCTTTATATTTGACGTTTCACTTTGTTCAATTTGCTTTTACAGGCTCTAACTGCTAGAAATACCCTCTTAAATTAAAAGAAATGTATGCATAATAATCTAATTTCAGAAGTTAGCATTTACAAAAAAAACAAATAAGAGAGATGAAATCACAGATCTTCAGCACTGTGCCTAAAACAAAGCAAAGGAAAATTACTTGCTCTCCCTCATCCGTGAGAAACATGACTCCAAAACAGATTAAAAAATATTAAGTGCTTGTGGTGTTGCTGCCCTCTTCTTTTAGTTTGCCTTAGCTTCCTCAGAAATTTTAGAAGAGAAGGGTTTACAGGAGGTAAAAATGGGAGAAATGTTTTCTGTTGAAGACCACAGATCCAACAAGTATTCAGTTGGGATAATTTGATGTATCACTCCCCAGAGCAGAGTGTTACTGGACTACATGAAAAATGATCCTTCTTATTTCGTCTCTTTGACTTTTTAATGAGTCTTCCAATCATAAACTGGAATTCACTTGGGATAAACATCAAAGATTTGTCAGAGCTCAACAAAATTAGATCATATTGAGCTGCAGATTTATTCCTGATATCCAGCCTAAAACTCCCCTGGCACAACTTAAACCCATTTCCTCTTGTCCTATCGCTTGTTACTTGAGAGGAGAGACCAACACCCACCTCATTACAACCTTCTTTCGGGTAGTTGTAGAGAGCAGTAAGGTCTCCCCTCAGCCTCCTCTTTTCCAGATTAAACAATCCCAGTTCCCTCAGCCACTCCTCACAAGACATGTTCCCCAGACCCTTCACCAGTTTTGCTGCCCTTCTCTGGGCCCGCTCCAGCACCTCAGTGTCCTTCTTACACTGTGGTGTCCAAAACTGAACACAGTACTCAAGCTGAGGCCTCACCAGTGCTGAGCACAGGGGCAGGATCACTTAGTCCTGCTGGACATGCTGTTTTTGACACAGGCCAGGATGCTGTTGGCCTTCGTGGCCACCTGGGCACACTTTTGGCTCATGTTCAGCCAGCTGTCCACCAGGACCCCTATTACACTGTGTGTGACTTGTCAGAAACTGCCATTGGGGTTTTGTCCTTATAGTTGTTCTGTAACTTAGTCTAAACCCAGATTTTAATAAGAGTTTGCTTGACACTGTCCTTGTTCAATATTTGTTTCTGTAACCTATGTGCTTCTGTAAATATATTTGGGTAGATTAGTTTAAATACCTTTCTTATATGCTAGAAATTAAGTACCTTTGCAAAGTGATTTTATTTAATAGTGCCCCTGCAAATCAATGAATGATCAACATGGGCAGTCTTCAGTATATTTTTCTAATAATATGTTCTAATTTAGAAAACAAACAACCCCTATTTACAGTGTTTTCTAAGTCCAGCAAGTACTCATCCTTAAACCTCAGTGGCTGAGGAGTTTGAGAAATTTGCATTGTAAGGGCATTTCAGCAGTATGGCTTCAAGAACTTAAATTTTTTAGTGAACCTGGGGAGAAGAAAAGAAGAGAGCAAAGAAATATACAATGTTTTCAGAAAACTAATCCCTTCACTGTTGCTTATTTGTTTGGGGTTTTTAATTTGTTTTCGTTTTGCCAAGAGTCTGTATTTATAAATGTAACATGCAAAGAAAGAGGCGTTGTTGGAGTTTTAAGCAGAAGCTGCTGCTGTAAGTGGGAGAGGTCTTTA